AAGAAGTGTTTCCTCTATGTTTTTTCCAGTAGTTTTATCATTTGGGATCTTATATGTAAATCTTCAATCCATTTTTAATTTTTATGTGGCAAGAAATAGGGGTCTAGCTTCAATTTTCCCAGCACCATTTATTGAGGAGACTGTCCTTTCTCTGTTCTGTGTTCCTGGCACTTTTGTTGAAAATAAGTTGGCTGTAAGTATGTGGATTTATTTCTGTGTTCTCTATTCTGTTCCATGGGTTTGTGTGTCTGTTTTTATGCCAATACCATGCTGTTTTGGTCACTGTAGCTTTATAGTATATTTTTAAATTAGGTAGTGTGATGCTTCCAGCTTTGTACTTTTTGCTTAAGGTTTCTTTGGCTATTTTGGGGTCTTTTATGTTTGCACACAAATTTCAAGATTGTTCTATTTTTGTGAAGAATGTCCTTGGTATTTTGACAGGGATTGCATTGTATCTGTAAATCGATTTGTATAGTATGGATGGTTTAACAATATTAATCCTTCCAAGCCATGAGCATAGGATATCTTTACATTTATTTGTGTCCTTTTCCATTTCTTTCATCAATGTTTTATAATTTTGAATGTAAACATATTTCACCTCCTTGGTTAAATTTATTCTTAAGGGTTTTTTTGTAGCTATTGTAAATGGGATTTTTCCTTTATTATTTTCAGATAGTTTACTATTAGTAAATAAAAACACTAGAAATTTTTATTTGTTGATTTTGAATCCTGTAACTTTACTGAATTTGTTTGTTCTAATGATTTTTTAGTAAAGTTTTAGGGTTTTCTATATATGAGATCATGTCATCTGCAAAGCACCGTTTAACTTCTTCCTTTCCAATTCGGATGCCCTTTATATGATTCTCTTAACTAATTGCCCTGGCTAGGACTTGCAGTACTATATTCAATAAAAGTGGTGAACATAGATGTCCTTGTCTGGTTCCAGATCTTAGAGGAAAAACTTTTAACTATTTCCTGTTCAGTATGATATTAGCTGTGGATTTGTCATATATGGCCTTTATAGTACTGAGGTCTTCTAAACCTAATTTGTTACGAGTTTTTATCATGAACAGATGTCGAATTTTGTCAAATGCTTTTTCTACATCTACTATCTTTCTTATAGTAGCCATTTTAATTGGGGTGAGATGAAATCTCATTGTGATTTTGGTTTGGATTTCCTTGAAGATTAGTGATGTTCAGCATATAGTTTTTGTCCTTCATTCTGTTCATGTGATGTATTACATTTATTGATTTGCATATGTTGAACCATCCTTGTGTCTGTAGTATGAAACTTTATCGTGGTGAACAATCTTTTTAATGTGCTGTTGAATTTGGTTTGCTAGTGTATTGTTAAGGATTTTTATATACATGTTCTTCAGGGATATTAGCCTGTAGTTTACTTTTTTTGTTGTGTCCTTGTCTAGTTTTGGGGGGTTACATCAAACTGAAAAGCTTCTACATAGCAAAGGAAACAATCAGCCGAATAAAAAGACAACCTACAGCATGAGAGAAAATATTTGCAAATTCTTTATCTGGCAAGGGATTAATATTCAGAATATGTAAGGAACTCAGACAACAACAAAAAAGTTTAATATTTAAAAATGGAAAAAAGATTAAAAAAAAAAAAAGAACAAGATCAAATTCTTTGTAGGAACATGGATGGAGCTGGAGGCCATTATCCTTAGCAAACTGATGCAGGAACAGAAAACCAACACTGCATGTTCTCACCTATAACTGGGAGCTAAATGATGAGAACACCTGGACACACAGCGGGGAACAAAAGACACGGGGCCTTACGGAGGGCAGAGGGCAGGAGGAGGAAGAAGATCAGGAGAAATAACTACTGAGTACTAGGCTTAATATCTGGCTGATGAAATAATTTGTACAACAAACCACCATGACACAAGCTTACCTATGTAACAAACCTGCATGTGTGCCCCTGAACTTAAAATTAATTAGTTAATTAATAAGGGCAAAAGACCCGAATAGACATTTCTCAAAAGAAGTCATACCAATGGACATCAGATATATGAAAAATGCTCAACATCACTCATCTTCAGAGAAATGCGAACCTTACCTCTGTTAGAGATATCACCTTACCTCTGTTAGAATGAGATATCACCTTACCTCTGTTAGAATGGATACTGTCAAAAAGACAAAAAAAAAAAAAAAAATTGCTGGTGCAGATGTGGAGAAGAGGCAATTCTTATACATTGTTGATGGGAATGTAAATTAGTATAGCCATTATGGAAAACATCATACCTCAAAAATTTAAAAATAGAACTACCATATGATGCAGCAATCCTACTACTGGGTATGTATGCAAAGGAAATGAAAACAGTACCTCAAACAGTACAACAGTACAGATGAAAAAGTACATCTGCACTCCCATATTTACCACAGTACTGTTCACAATATCCAAGATATAGAATCAACCTAAGTGTTCATCAACAGATAAACAGATGAAGAAAATGTGGATATGTGTACAGTAGAATACTTTTCCACCATAAAAAACAAAACGAATGAGGCTGGGCATGGTGATTCACGACTATAATCCCAGCACTTTGAGAGGCTGAGGTGGGTGGATCACTTGAGCCCGGGAGTTTGAGACTAGCCTGGACAACATGGGGAAACCCTGTATCTACCAAAAAAAAAAAAAAAAAATTCTAGCCAGGTGTGATGGCACACACATGTAGTTCCGGCTACCCAGGAGGCTGAGATGGAAGGATAACTTGAGCTCAGGAGTCGGGGGCTGCAGTGAGCCGAGATCACACCACTGTACTCTAGCCTGGATGCCAAAGCAAGACCAACCCTGTCTCAAAAAAAAAAAAAAAAAAAAAAAAAAAAAAAAAATCCTGTTATTTGCAGCAACATGGATGAACCTGGAGATCATTATGTTAAATGAAGTAAGCCAGGTACAGAAAGACAAATACTGTGTTATCTGACTTGTATGTAGAATCTAAAAAGTTGATCTCACAAAAGTAGAGAGTAGAATAGTGACTACCAGAGACTGGGGAAGGGAGTGGGGAGAGGAAGATAGGGAGAGATTGGTCAAGAGGCACAAAGTTATAGTTAGATAGGAGGAATGAGTTCTGGTATTCTCTTGCACAGCAGGGTGACTATATGTACTGTATATTTCAAAATAGCTAGGAGAAGGGATTTTGAATGTCCTGACCACAGAGAAATGATAAATGTAAGAAGTGATGGATATGCTAAATAGTCTGATTTGATTTTTATACAATGTGTACATGTATCCAAAAAATCACAGTGTTCCTCCTAAATATGTACAATTATTATGTGTCAATGAAAAAATTTGAAAAGCATGATCCATAAAAAGAAAAATGAATAAATCAAAGTTAAAAATTTTGCTCTGCAAAAGATCTTGTTAAGAAGATAAAAGAAAAGCTAGATATTTAGGGAAAATATTTTCAAGCTGCATATTTGGCAAAAGACTAGTATCTTGAATATAAGGAAGCCTCAAAATTCAGTAAAAATAATCTGAATCAAAAATGCTCAAATGACATGAATAGACATTTCACCAAAGAGGGTGTACACATGGTAAATAATCACATAAAATATATTCAACATTGTTAGTCATTAGGGAAATGCAAATTAAAATCACAAGGAGATATCATTGCACACTTATCAGCATGACTAAAATAAAAACTAGTGACAACATCAAACGTTGGTAAGGAAGCAGAGAAATAGGATCAATGATACATTGCTGGAGGGAAGGTGAAATAGTATAGGCACTCTAGAATAAGGCAGTTTCTCAAAAAACTGACCATGCAACTACCCTATGGCCTGGGAATTACACTCCTGGCCATCTCAGAGAAATGAAGACACGTTCACACAGAAACCTGTACTGTAATATTGATACAGCTTTATTTGTAGTAATCAAAATCTGGAAACATCCCAGATATTCTTAAACAAAAGAATAACTAAAAATGTGGTCCATCCATACCATGGAATACTACCCAGTAATAAAAGGAACAAACTATTGATACATGTAACCATGATACCATGTGAGACCTGGAAGAATCTCCAGAGAATTATTGTGAGTAGAAAAGATCACAAAAGGTTTCGTGTTGTGTGATTCCATTCATAGAACATTCTTAAAATGATGAAATTTTAGAAATGGAGACCATATCAATGGTTGCCCAAAGGTTAAGGGGGGCTTGAGAGCTACTTGAGAGGTCCTTGTAGTGATGGAAATGCTCTGTATCCTAAGTTTATCAATGTTAGTATGGGGCCATGATATTGTACCCTAGTGGACAAGATATTACCATTGGGAAAACAGGGTAAGGTAAACAAGATTTCTCTGTATTATTATTATTTTTTTTTTGAGACAGTGTCTCTCTCTGTCACCCAGGCTGGAGTGCAGTGGTACGATCTCGGCTCATTGCAACTTCCACCTCCCGGGTTCAAGCAGTCTTGTGCCTCAGCCTCCTGAGTAGCTGGGATTACAGGTGCACGCCACCACGCCCAGTTAATTTTTGTATTTTTAATAGAGATGAGGTTTTGCCGTGTTGGCCAGGCCAGTCTCGAACTCCTGGCCTCAAGTGATCTGCCCACCTCAACCTCCAAAGTTCTGCAGCTACAGGCATGAGCCACTGCACCCAGCACCCTATGTTACTTCTTATAACTGCATGTGAATCTACAATAATCTTAAAGTAAAAATTTTAATTTAAAAAGAAAAGCCATGTAAAATGTCATGTTGAGGGTTGTTAATTTAATGATTAGAATGCATAAATCATCTCAGTTTGTATAACATGCTCTATCTTCAAACTCTTGATCCCGTGTTCTTTTACTGACAATGCTATGGTAGATAGGTGGGCAGATGCTTTTATACTGTGCACTTACAATTTTTCAGGAGAAAACACAGTGCCAAAAGTCTGTGTAGACCTGCCATGCATTGGTGGTTAACCCATATTCCAAGGGAAAGCCCCAATTTCCCCAGTCACCACCAAGTAACATCTCATATTCTTTCTTATCTTCAGGAAAGCCACTAGTGAAAACGTCACGAATGACCATGATCAACATGGAGAAGCCTGCAGTCACAGTCGATATAGGAAGCACCATCAAAACAGTGCAGGGAGTGAATGTGACAATTAACTGCCAGGTTGCAGGTGAGAAATTCATTCATGTATTTATTCACACGTTAATGGAGCCCTGTGCTAGGTTGGGGATACAAAGACAAATTAGACACAAATTCTGCTCTCAGGGATATAGCGCTAGTAGGAAAGCCAACACATGAACCTCAGTCACTCCAAAAGTAGAAAGTGCTACAGAAATTTAGAGGAGAAAAGATTAATTCTGACTGGGACAGATAGGTAAAATTGGTCTTTTTCTGTGTATGTTTTTCATTAATCTTTGCCTTCCATACGGATAGAATGTGAACATGCAAAGATGGGGGCAAGGAGTTCCAAGTGAACAAAGGAGAGTGATGAAATTCATGGAAGTAGAAAACACTCTAGGCTGTAGAGAGAACAGTGTGAGCTTTAGTCTGGGTGGAGCCCAGAGTGCGGAAATGTAGGTGGAAGTGATGTTAAGGAGCCATGCTTCCAGAAGAGAAAGCTGCCAGCGGTTCAGAGAATGGATTGAAGAAGGGAAACACTAGGACAGAAAGACCAGGTAAAACCTATCCCTGTAGTTGAGAGGTCATGGAGGCCTGAACTCAGGGCAGTGGGGATGGGAAGGTAAAGACTGGATAGACATGAGAAAGACGGCAAGAGGTAAGGCCAACAGGAACCTGGAACTTGCTCGAATCAGAAGTAGGCAGGAGTCATTGGAGAAGATAGCCAATGGAGTTCTGGTACAGGCATTGCCCTCAGCTAGGCCTGGCACACTCAGAGACCAACAGGGTCCAGGAGCCACAGGGAAGCGAGGAGTAGCAGACAATAGGGCGTGCTAATATGCTCTGTATAAAAATATTTACCTTCAATTAAAAGACAGAAAACACCAACACAGAGCAGAACGTGGCCCAGCTACTATTTTTCCCTTCTTGTGTACCAGTCATTTGTGATGTGTACCCCCTAGGGGTTTCACTGACACAAAGGCATGAAGAAATCAATGGTTCTTGTGCCTTTGGGCAGCTAGTCTTCTGATTGCTGTCCTCATCAGATATACCCCATTGTCGCATGGCCAATCAGACCCAGGTTCCTTGATCATCCCCTGTCTGCAGAGTAGACAGGCAGTGGTACCCCCTGCTTTGATGGTTTCTTCATCTTAGATCTTCATCATCTGAAGATTTACCTCAATTTGTTATTTATAAGACCAGAAAACACATTTGAGAGTAAGTAAGAGGAATATCTTAACCTACGTCTTCCTGTTTCCAAATAAGAGCCAAGTCTGACTTTCTCTGAAATATTCTGATAGCTTCAGGAAATCTGAAACATGGACAGGCCTGATGGCTCACATCTGTAATCCCAGCACTTTGGGAAGCTGAGATGAGTAGATCACTTCAGCCCTGGAGTTCAAGACCAGCCTGGGCAACAAGGCAAAATTTTGGTCTCTACAAAAAATACAAAAATTATCTAGGTGTGGTGGTGCATGCCTGTAGTCTCAGCTACTAGGGATGCTGAGATGAGAGGATCATTTGAACCCAGGAGATCAAGGCTGCAGTGAGCCATGAGCATACCACAGCACTCCAGCCTGGATGACAGAGTGAGACCCTATCTCAAAAAAAAAAAAAAAATAGGATATCTGAAATATACATCTATCTTTGTAAATGCGCGTTAGCTTCTCCTTTGTAAAGTTTCTCATGGCCTTTGTGATGCTTCCCTTCCAGCCTCATCAGTGAAATCTAGAACCAAGTCCCTTCAGCCCCTGTACTCCCAGATAGCGAGTAAAACAAAACTCCTAACAGGGATTGGCATGAATGAGCTACCCCTTGGTGCAGGGATTAATGGTGCCAGTAAGGCCCTTTCAGCAGAACAATCACCCCACACACACACCTGATCAGTATGGACACATGCTTTGGTGATGAACACCTGTGGTACAATGGACCACGTTGTGTATCTTCTTAAGAGGTGGAACTGGTAGGAGTAAAAGAAAAGGGGAGGGGCTGGCACGGGGACTCACCCCTGTAATCCCAGCACTTTGGGAGGGTCAGGCGGGTGGATTTCCTGAGACCAGGAGTTCCAGACCAGCCCAGCCAACATGGCGAAACCTCGTCTCTACTAAAAATACAAAAATTAGCTAGGTATGGTGGCAAGTGTCTGCCATCCCAGCTACTCGGGAGGCTGAGGCACAAGAGTCACTTGAACCTAGGAGGTGGAGGTTGCAGTGAGCTGAGATCTCGCTACTACAAACCAGCCTGAGCAGCAGAGCAAGATGCTGTCCAAACAAAAAACAGAACAGGAGAGGATAGGACAGTAAAACAAGGAAATGTGCATTTAAAGGAGATTGAGAGCACCAGAATCCAGTTGAGGAAATATTTACATTGGGGAACCTAGGACATTAAAACGAGCTTTGGCCACTCTTCTGTGCTGCCTAGGGCCCTCTCTCCGGGACTTCATCCAGAGGCTCACTTGATCACCTTATAGTGAGAGCCTAGATGGTTATACCTAGTTTTCCCTGGCTGTGACATTGCAGTCTTTATTTTTGTTTTTACCCATAAAACCATCTGTATTAATGCTGATTAACTAAAATAAATCTTTGTATATTTGTCATTATTCCTTTTGTTAAACAAGACGCTTACTCAAAGTAGGTGGGAAAGAGCCTGCTTTTACTTACACAGTGAATTTGCTGGACAAGAAAATCATCTGTGAGCTGAGTCTCCAGTTAAAACACTGACAGCTATAATGCTAAATGGCAGAGGACTACTTTCACTTTGCTGCTGTAAGTGGCTCTTATGGCTCTCTCCTTCCTCTTGGTCATCTCTAGCCCATTCCTAGTCAGGCAGTTTAGTGTCCTCCTGATTGGTTAGGTAGAATTCTGTCAGCACCAGTAACACTGCCAGTAGCTGATACTGTAGCTTGAGAATTTGCAACCCAGCCTCTGCTAATAGACGGGGAAGTGGGACTCCATAAGGGCCTGCTTAAAGAAGTGTTTTATGTCAGATTCATTCATGTTGTTCATTTGGCAGTTTTTTATGGAGTATTTCATCCAGGTTAGATCAGATGTCTCCTAATCTAAGGAGCCACAGGTAAATAAGGTACAACTTTCAGGAAGCTCACAGTCTGGGAAGGAGAAAAGTTATGGAATATATAATGATAATATAATGCAATATGTAGATACAGTTGTTTTCTTATTATAAAATATTAGAGTATTAAAGAAGTTTTAGAAAACACAAAAAAATTTAAAAGAGGCGAAAAAGGAAAGAAAACAGCTTGTTCAAAGTCCTTCTCTGCAAACTCAACCATAGCTGACATTTTAGTATATTTCCTTAATCATCACCTTTTATCCTGCTTTATTTTCTCTCAGTAATAAACATTTGTCTGTGTCATAAGCATAATTTTAATGGCTATATAATAGCCTATTTTAAGAATATTATGTTAATTTACCTAGACTGACTTACATGTTTGAGTTGTTAGCAATTTTTTATTAAACAGCTTCTTGCACACGTGTGCTTTTAGTTTATAGAATACAGCCTCACACATTCTTCCCAACCCTGAAGCCTCAAAAGCATCAGGCAATGAGTATGATGGGCTTTTTCTGGAAAACTGACCTGATTCACTGTATCACTCCCATACTGATTTTCCATTTGTTCTCTGAAGAAGTCAGAAAACTGAGTCAGTGATAAAGGATCAGGGAAGGAAGCAGTGTTTCAGTAAATGGGAACAGTATGTGCAAAGGGCCTGAGGTAGAAAGAGCATGTTGCATTTAAAGAAGTAGAAACTGGCTGGTGGTGTGGCTATAATATTGAGAGCAGAGAAGAAAGTAGCATATGAGGCTAAGACGGTGGGGGTAGGCAGGGCCTAGATCTTACCTGTTCTCATTGATTATGGTACAGTTTAGGTTTTTCTCCTAAAAGCAAAGGAAGTGTTTGAAGGACTTACTTAGGAGATAAAATTAGCAGGACTAGGGATGCAGAAATAAACAGTTCAGGAGTCAGTGATGGGTGGTGTGTTATAATAGGTTAGACACTGGTGTCAAGCAGACCCCCAAATGTATAATGGCTGAAATAAAATAGAAGTCTTATTTTGCTTACCTAGGAGCCCAAAAAGTACACCTGGTCATCTGGAGAGGATCTGTCATTCAAGATCACATGATGCTGGTGTCTCTGTCATCTTGAACACATGCCTTCCAGCGTCTCCCTAGGGGTTACCTCTATCCCATCAACCAGGAGAGGGGAAAATAGAATATGGGGGATGGTTGGGAAGGCTTTTACGAGCCACACCTGGAAGGAGCACACATTAACACTTTTCACACTCTTTAGTCACATGGCCACATACAACTACAAAGGATACTGGGGAAGGTGCCCTCACTGGGTACTCAGGAAAAAGGGAAACCAGTTTTGTGAACAACTGTCATTGTCTGCCACAATCAGTATGGAGAATCACGGAAGGCCGAAAACCTTGTTTCCAAACTGCCATGGTTCCTTAGAATAATTTACAAGGCTGACAGTTGGGTTGCTGTATGCTTTCTCTTTCCTTTCCCTAAGCCACCCTACCTCCACACCTCCTAGGAAGCTTCTAGAACTTATAATGTAAAGGTGCACCATTGATTAGACACCCCACCTTGAGATGTTGACACACTGCCATGGTGCAGGCACCCTTCCAAATATCATAAGGCATCCAGTTAACAAGAATACCCTGTCTGGGATTTTTTTTTAAAAGAATATTATAGCATCACCCTACCTGGCAGCTCCGTGGACATCAAAGGCACTGGACCTTATAATCATATCAAGTTACCGCTGATTATGACTAAGCTCATTTATTGATCCTTTGAAGCGGCAGGGAGAGCACTGGGCTGTTGAAAAGATACGCCTCAGGGGAAAACACAAACACGGGTTCTTTTCCTTTCCTGTTTTAAGCTTCAAATAATACCAGGGAGTTTAGCGTGTGGAGCCTATCCAAGTAGCTGGTCAATAGCAACATAGTTCTTGGATTTTGTTCTGTGGTAGAGCATATTTTCTGTCATTTTCAGGTGTTTCTTTCTGTGGCATTTGCTGTCACACCACAGCAGTCTAGAAAAGATCATCTCCCACAACCTGACCAAGCTTCTCAACAAGGGAGAGCGAACAAAGTCCGAACACATGGACTCTGGAACCTCTCTCCTGATGACACCTTGGTGTTATAACCACAGCAGACATTAATTCTGAAAGCGTAAAGGAATTAAGGGTTTGGCAGTTCAGAAATGGTGAAGCAGCAGTTCAGATTTTCTCTCGAGAGGCAAGCTACTGTATAATGGCAGGCGGTGCACACTTGTTAAGATGAGGACTGTTGGCATTAAAGGTATTTCAGTTTGAATCCCCACCCTGGCACTGGGGGGTTACTGATTGGCAGTAGGGTAGAGAACTGGGGGGAACAGCAACTCTGTCCCCAGGTCATTGTTCAGGCATCCAAACGAATGTGACCTTAAGCAAATTTCTTAATCTCTATGAGACCCTTTTTCTCATTTATAAAATGGAGTTAATAGTAACCTGCTTCACAGGATCATTGTGAAAAATAAGTGATTGTGTTTATGAAATGTTTGGCATATAGCAAATGTTCAGTCAATGTTATTTCTCTCTTTAATGCACTCAGGACATTTTGGCAGGCTTGGTACACTCTGATGTTGAGGTATTCTGAAGGTCAGTATTAGGCATATGTATCTGGTACCTTTTCAAGGGACTCTGGAACATTCAAGGGCTGGTGAAGTTTTCTAAAGCATCATTGTCATTTCTTGAGAGAAAAAGAAAAAAAAAAAACCTCTAACACCTCAATTGTTTTTTTCTCTTTCCTCATTCTACACATGTAATGTTAGAGCCAGTTGTGGAAGGACTGGCTGTCCTGTAATATCATTCTCTGCCTAAGGCCCACAGTTCCAGGCAGGAAGTCCTCAAAATGTGGCACCAGCAACAACACCTGCCTCAGCAAACTCATAATGCAGATCTGTGCTTGAATGAGAGCTGTGCTAAATGAGAGGTTTGCTAATAGATTAAAGAATGATTCCAACTGAATTTGAATTTCTCTTCCCTTGGGACTGCTGTCACATCCACGGTTCCAGGGTTACAGAGACTGGAGTTTTCTTCCTCCACCCTGCTATTCTGAACATTTCCATTTCTCCCATGAAAGCCCCTGCTGTCACAGAATTCAGCCCTTTTATTTTATATCCAGTCCTGTCCTCTCAAAACGAGCACAATTTTGGAGTGGCGTGAGACAGACAGTCATAAAGGGAATGGAAGAAGCTTGCAAGCAATTCTTGGGGGAGTGAGAAATAGCTCCCAGGTGTCTCTTCATCCCTGGGTTCTCTCCCTTCTCCTCCTGTTCCTCCCTCCCTCTAATGCCCTGTCACTCTCACTCTCATTTTCTCTCCCTCTGATTCTCTGTGTTTGTGACCCACAGCCCTCCTCTAAGGAAGATGTGGGCAGTAAGTGCTGCGTGTGAGCAATGCAAGCGTAAGAGGATGAATACTGGTAGAAAATGCTTTGCAGGGCCAGCATGGTGGCTCACACCTGTAATCTCAACCCTTTGGGAGGCTGAGACAGGTGGATCATCTGCTGTCAGGAGTTCGAGAGCAGCCTCACCAACATGATGACACCCCATCTCCATTAAAAATACAAAAATTAGCTGGGGATGGTGGCGCATGCCTGTAATTCCATGTAACTCGGAAGGCTGAGGCAGGAGAATCACTGGAACCCAGGAGGCGGAGGCTGCACTAAACTGAGATTATGCCACTGTACTCCAGCCTGAGTGACAGAGGGGAGGCTCCATCTCAAAAAAAAAAAAAAAAAAGAAAAGAAAAAGGGTTTGTGGGACCTCATTTTTCCTTGTGCTTTCAGGAGAAAAATAACTGGAAGTGCTTTTCTTCAACTTACTTCTGAGCCTTTCTCCTGAATGCTGTGGATTTTTTTAATGCAAAAATACTAAGTTCAGGGTCCAAATTCCAAGCTGGCATGGACAGGCATCCTGATGCTCTTGCTCTCCCTAGTGGTGCTGCGATGAAAAATCAGCTGTTCTGCCCCTCACCTGTGTCTTTTCTCCAGGTATCTGTAGTGATGATGCCAACCTGGCCCCTCCCATGCACTTGAGCATCAAGTATCCTGCTATTAGAGCCAGATTAGCGTGTGCCTCTCTCTGATGTGACAAAGCTGTGGTATTCCCCCAAGTTTCCACCTGCTTTTGGTAGCCCTGCCTCTTTCTCCTTCCACTTTCAAGGACAAGTAACAGATAAATAGGCAGCTCCTTGAAGACTCTACATCCTCAATAGTAGGCTAGCCATTAAGGGCAAACTGCCCTTGCCCGAAAGGCAAAAGCCAGCCCCGTCTTAGGGAAAACACTAGACCACTATACTAAAGGTCTGGTTCCTTGGCCATTCTTGGCTTTGACCCCATTTCCCAGAACTTGACGCTTTTTTTTTTTTAAGACACATTCTTGCTGTGTCACACAGGCTAGAGTACAGTGGTGTAATCTCAGCTCACTGTAACCTCCACCTCCAGGGTTCAAGTGATTCCCCTGCCTCAGCCTTCTGAGTAGCTGGGATTACAGGCGTGTAACACCACACCTGGCTAATTTTTGAGTTTTAGTAAAGATGGGTTTCACCATGTTGGTCAGGCTGGCCTCAAGCTCCTGACCTTGTGATCCACACATCTCAGCCTCCCAAAGTGCTGGGATTACAGGCATGAGCCACTGCATCCAGCCAGTTCTTGACACTTTAAGTATGCTCTGGATACATGCCAGCGAGTTCTACAGGTAAACTGTGAGCTGGGCAGCAGGCTGAGGTGTGTGGGGGAGGGAGCTTTCTGCTCCCTAGAGACCTTTGTAGCAGTGCCGTAGACTTTCAATCTCTCAACACACTCAGAGCCCAGCCTCCTATAGGATCCTCCTAAAATAGCATCTAGGAAGGCTTGCCCTAAATTCCCAGGGCCTTTTACCAGCATGTTAACCTCAAGGAAACTTCCTGAGGAATTCGCACTGTCCCTAGAACATAGAGCCTGGTTTCCAAAGAGAGAACCCATCCCAAGTCAGCAGACGATCTCCCCAGCTCTCTCGCAGAAAATCAACTTGGATTGTGGAAAGAGTTGAGCACTTTCCGTTTGTCCTTTGCCTGTGGTTCTACTGATACTACCATTTCATGTTTTCTTGTTCTGAAAAGACATGTTGGCTTCCAAAAATACAAGCATGTTTTCTACATAGAGTGTCAACTCCAGTAAGAATCTAGCAGCTTCCATTTGTCTAGTTCATACATATATTTTAACATAGTACAGCTTTTCACCCTTTATTAAACTATGATATCTTTACAGAAATGTACACAGAGCATAAAGGTACCAAGTGAACACTTCCCACCAGACCAGCCCCAGGTCAAGACACACAGCATCACCAGTGGCCAAGCCCCTTGTCCCCTTTCTCGGTCACAACCCCTCCCCATTCATTCCACTGACTACTAACAGCATAGATTAATGTTACCAGGTTTCGTTTCTGTACTTATGGAAATGAAATAATATAGTATGTACTTTTGTGTCTGGCATCACTTACTCAACATGATGTTTGTTTCATGTAGTTTCATTTTCACTGGTGCATACATTTGGTTCTCGTGTTTTTCAAATATGCTGTCTCCAAAGAATTTAGGTACACTCCTTCCACCTTGGCAGGTCCCCTGTGCCAGCTGCCTGTTTCCTCCTCTTGGTACTGGCCTCCTCCTTCCTGCCTCGTCGCTGCAAGTTTTAAAAGGCAAAAGATCTGGAGACAACTGAGAGGTCCAGGGCATTATTTAGTTTAGCCAAAGCAAGGTAGAAGATGGCCCTGTAGAGCAGCCTCAGGGAAGGGGGATTCAAGAAGCTGTAAATGCCTCTGGGCTCACCTGAACGTGTTTGACTGATGAGTTTATATTTGTTCTTCCTAGGAGTACCTGAAGCTGAAGTCACTTGGTTCAGGAATAAAAGCAAACTGGGTTCCCCCCACCATCTGCATGAAGGCTCCTTGCTGCTCACAAACGTGTCAGCCTCAGATCAGGGCGTATACTCCTGCAGGGCGGCCAATGTTCATGGAGAGCTGACTGAGAGCACCCAGCTGCTGATCCTAGGTAAACACCTCAAAGCTGGCTGCCTGTGGTGCACCCTGTTGGGGGTGACTCTCTAACCCATCCTCTACATCCTTTGTTCCCTTATGTCCTTAATCCAATTAAGGACATAAAACATATGTTCTCCTATGTCTTTAATCCAATTAAGGACATAAAAGGTAAAATCGGTATTCCTTCACTTCTTCCCAATTTATGGGCTTTCAATAGAACAAGGCCAGTCAAACAAGAACGTGAACCCTGGCTCTACCATTTACTAATTGTGTGGCCTTGGGCAAGTTACTTCACTCTGCTAAGCCTTAGATACTGGCCTCTATGTGGGGACTCCAGAAACAAGGATTACAAGATTGAGAGATCAGGGATCTCAGAGATAACAGAATTAAAACAATTATCTTTAACTCTTCCTGCATTAAGGACTTCTTTGACAATCAGAAACTATGGATTTCTCTTTCTAGAAAAATGCATACATGTAAAATTTTTCCTACAATTCCAGGAAGCCTATGGTCTGGTCCACCTAAAGTCTCCACATGCACCCCTAAACATAAGAATTGCTGATTAAAGAGGCTGGCATGGCTCCTGGTATAAAATGGGTGCTTAAAAATAACAATTGCTGGGACACCATCCACCACCTGATTATTGCCCAGTTCTGGACTCAGCCAAGTTGCAAGCCATAATCCTTTTTGTCCCCTGGGCTAGGGATACCCTTCTGCACTCTAATAATTATGCTCTTTCCCACCTAGAGAAAGCTGTCATTCTAAGGAAAAAAAGGAAAGATGTAAGAAATAATAATTACATGTCACACATACATATATACACGTACATTACAGACCTCCTCGGGGAAAAATATTTAAACTTTACACTTCTGTTTTCACACCCAGAGTTGAAGATACACCTTCACATAGGTTCTCTAGACCCTGCCCACTCAGATTTCAGAGAGGCCCAAACAGGCTTTCATCTCACTGGTGGCTGCATAAACCTCCAGACATCTTAGGAAGCCACAGAAAATTGGCTCAGAGAAAGATGTCATTTGTTTTGCCTTGGGTTTCATCCAGCTGAGCTGCTAGTCTGGAGCCCAGAGCCCAGGGAATATTGCCCCACACTGAATTATGATGCTGAGCAATGAGTGTTTTCCTCCCTAATAACCCTTCCCTGTTGCCTCTGCTAACAGACGTGAAAGTCTAAGATGTAGGGCTGCTACTGTGGCTTTGCCAATGAAGTGTGTATGTTCCGTAGGCAGGTTCTTACTGCATTCCAGTTCTAATACACTGTAACAGAGGACATGGGGTTCGAAGAACAAAAAGTCTTCCCCATTTTCATGAAACTTAATGGGGAAAAAATCATTGTTAAGACTCTTAAGTTTAAGGTTTTTCTTGATCACAATTTTTGGTTTCATTAATGAAAGTTTGTTAGCTTTTAACAGGTACTTTATGAACATCAAAGCTTTTCTCTTAATCAGCAAAAATATAGCTTAATTTTTAAAGGGGGCATTTTGTGGATAAAGCTGAGATTTTACCCCAAGTTCTGTGACTTAATCTGCACCATGAGTACTTGAAGTGTGATAAGACTTTTATCCATGTATTCATATAGTCCATTGGACAGATATTCATCAAGTGTTGCCATTTAATGTTGCTGACATTAAGTTCCATGTCAGCTAGACACTGGTAAAGTTTTAGTAGAAATCTAAGTGCTAGCCTCTACACCCGGAGAACTGACAGTTTCCCTGGGAAGAGCAAACGGACACGCACTGAAGAGGAAAAATACTGTCGAAGCTGTAAGGACATGAGGAGGGACCAATATTTGGTTCAAAAAGAGCTGATTGTTTTGAAGATGGAAAGTAGCCTCCCTTTTTTGCTCTTAGTAAATAAGCAAAGGTTTCTTGAGTTTCAAGAGGAAATATTGAGTAGGAGAGAAGGACACTTTGAGTAAACTGCCACCATCAATTCCTAAAATCATGGTATTCCAGAGCAGAAAGAGATCTTGGAAAGGAACCTCATTTTATAGATGAGAAAACTAAGACTCTGAGGATTTAAATGACCTAATTAGTGAATGACAGAGCCATGGCTCACACTGAGGGTTCCTGAACCCAGGCATGATGTTTTCCTCTATGCCATATGGAAAGGGGTTTTTTAAGTATATTTCACATATATATATACACATACACCTACATACATACACATATACACACATATGTAATCTCAAGTTCATCATTTTCTCTATACAATGGTCTTTGTCCGCCAAAGCCAGAAAGACTGAAGGTATGTTTCTCAAGTAGAATCAGGCACCATCATGACTTATTAATTCACCATCCCTAACAAGTGCATAGCAAGGTGCCAGGCACGTAGTGGGGCCCTTGCAGAATGCTGCTGAAATGACCATCCCTTTCAAGAGCAATACTCCTGCTGCTGCTTCCATTCCAACAAATGTTCTAGAGAAAAAGGTGGGAGCTGGCCTTGGGAGTGTAAACCGCAGCTCTTCAGGAGGTGCAGAAAGAGAGGCAAAGGGATCGGGATCTGCCGCTTTTCCAAGAGAAGTTCAGCAGGTGTTTACCTCTTTATTTGTCCAGCAGGAACGATAACCAAGCCACTATATATTTTGCATTTTAGTCACTTTTCGCATTGGTTAACTGGGACCTCCAGTGACTTCAGCGCTGATTCCTTGTAAGATTCTGAATAGCGAAGCACTGCATAGCAACTCTCTTCTCCTGCTCTGCTTTATCTAGATCCTACTTAGGCATAAAAATCCAGACCACAAAGCAAATTAACTTATCAGCTGCACAACTGTCCCTTTTGCTTCATAAAAAAGGGTCCTTTTACCTAAGAAATTCCCGTGGCGTATCTCTGTACGGACAATAACAAGGTACCTCACTCTAAAGACTGTTATTAGGACTAAATGAAAAATGGACTGAAATCGATTTAGCACAGAACTTGGCAGATAGTAAATACTAAAATTGGCTTTTTTAAAAAGTGTCTTTATAGTATAGTTTAAGTTATCTTCAAATTTGTTGGTACCCAATGGTCTAAAGTGAGAAACCCCTGAAATCTGCATGCCTGCTTCCTCTTACCGACCTTATTATTTCAGGCATCAAATACCTGTATTAAGTTTGAAATTTATACTCACCTTGATAGGGAGTCCTCTGTTGGAAAAGTGATGTTAAAAGGCAACAGTAGCAATGCCTATCTTAAACGTATGCGCACACATACCCACGTCTTCCGTTTCTGTCGACACAACCTTGTGTTTTAACCTGCCTGATCCGCCATCTGCCTTTTCACAGATCCCCCCCAAGTCCCCACACAGTTGGAAGACATCAGGGCCTTGCTCGCAGCCACTGGACCAAACCTTCCTTCAGTGCTGACGTCTCCTCTGGGAACACAGCTGGTCCTGGATCCTGGGAATTCTGCTCTCCTTGGTGAGTCCAACCCTTGGAAACATTAGGCAGAAATCCAGGACTGGACAGGATTTATGGATGGGTGACTGCTTGCAGGTGGGAGGGAGACAGCAGTGGGGGGGGCGCTGGCCAACAGGAAATCACTAAATTGCCTACAGAATCCAGACTCACCAGTGGAAACTTGGCTAACTTTCCATATGAGGTGAATGCAGTTGTTAGTCTGGACTCTATGGCTTGTCTAGATTCCAACATGGCTCCTTTCTGAATCCTCTTGGGCTAATGCCATAGTCCAGATCCTTTCAATCAGACTGACTCATGAAACTTTGAGAAAGATGCAGCAGTAAAGAACAGCTCCTATTTCTCGTCTCCTCTTGGTAAGCATTCCCCGGTACTCCGCCATAACCCCTTCCCACCTAAACTAGAGTAATAATCAACTTTTGAGGAGAAAATAAAATATCAGCACCCTCCAAAAGGAAAAGGCTATACCATTTAGGCCAGGTTTCTGTAGATATAGCATAAAGCTAACCCAGATGGACTCCTCAAGGCAAGTGCTGAATTAATTTCACCAAGTACAACCTCCCTGTTATCTAGCGTTGGAAACCTTCACCAAGTTACCTTCCACATGGGTAGTGCCCTCTGGCAGCCAGGAATTATACAAGGGCATTAAAGTCCAGGGATGCCACACCAGCTTCATGGAGATGCCAGAAAAACCTTCACACATGACCTCCGGAGATGGACAAGGTGGAAGAGAAGAATTCTTCTGCCTTCAAAAGACCTGAGGGAAAAAATACAGGTCTATACATGTGCAGGGACAGGGAATATATGAGAAGTTTCTGTACCTTCCTCTTGTGCTGTGGACCTAAGATCTAAAACTCCTCTTTAAAATAAAACAAAACAAAAAGCCAAGGCCTGCAAAGTGGGGAAAATCTTCACAGTCACTCTGTGTGATCCCACATGTTGACAATAATAGCTAGAATTATCCCTGTGGCTCAAGTTTAAAGTGTCTGTATTCCTTTACCCACCAGCTAGCAAGGAACAGGAGGCCAAGGGGTTCCCAGTCATATAGGTGATGACTTAACACGGACACAGGAGCCTAGTACCTTTAGGGTTAGAGCACAGAAAGATGACCTTCAGTTTTCATTATCATCTGAAACTCGTAAAGAATCTTCATAGCTTATCAGCATATGGAAAAAATCTTCTGATTTCTCTGTTTGTGAACTTGGGTAAAAATAAGACACAGGGAAAGTAACAAGTAGCCCTATTCTGTTGCCCATGATTTATACAAATTTGGCACTGAGTTTTTCTATGTCATGTTGATCAAAATTAATAGAAGTTTCAAATTGTATGTTGACTTTGGCTTACAAATAGTAAATTTATTCCAAATGAGATGTGCATTGTGCACTCCTTTGTTTTAGACTCATCACTAGAGAAATTCTCATAACTGTTCATCATAGCCCGGTCACGAGCAGGGTGTGCAGCAGCTGTTTATTTTCAAGTTCAATAACTTTTTTGGGTCACTCAGGTGCCATTTAGCATGCTGGAAAAGTTAACCTGCTCATATTTTTTCATGATAGCTTTACTTTCATTCTCCCTTATTCTGGAATAATATTTTGTTTCATTTTAGCCATGGGCAATAAGAATTTATTGTACTTTATGCTGCTGCATTCCATTGCTAGTTTATGGTGCTTTGTTACCTTAGACTGGTATTTAAATTTAGTAGTTAAGAGACACCTTAAAATCCCAGTCCACATCCAGACTGCTCCATTTGAATGAGACAGTGAGTCAGTATTCATAAAGTCCCTCAATGAACTGCCTGGACCAAATGGACTTGAGTGATGAATGTCAGTGAACTAGGAGACTCACATGGAATTGTGGAAATGAATGAAAGAATGATGTAATGTATCAGGACTCTGAGAAGCAGGTTATTGGAGACAGTGCCTCACTCTGATGCTTTGGAGCTCAATACTGCAGGATGGGTGGGATCCAAATAGGCAGAAAAGAAAAGGAATGGGCATTCAAGGAAGATTCCATGAGCCCCAAGATGAAAAATGTGCAACATATGTATCAGATGTCTGTTCAGAAACATTTGTAAAATGCCACTGCTTTAAGACTGATGACAGGCACCTATACTGGGATAGAAACTAGGCCATCAAAATGAACAAGGCTCAGCCAGTCCTTGTCCATTCAGATTTGGCTTAGACCCTCACGCCAGCAATACTAATACCCTCCCTCCATCCTGAACTTCCCCAGCTCGTACCTCATGCTAGTCTGTTAGTCCAGTTGCTCCCATTTGGACAGGCTCCCATCCCTGGCTCCTATAGGTGGCCCTTTCAGACCACAGTGTGTGCTCTGGGTATGAGAAATAAGCTAGAGAGGCTGGAGAGGAGGTTTTATGTAGGGTTGCTGAGACATTAACACTGTAAATGGCATCAAATTGTGGAGGCCTTGAATATAAAATGAAGGAAGTAGATGTACTATATGGGGAATGGGAACAAATCGTTAGAGGGTTTTTAAAGAAGAGAATGACATACTAAAAGTAATGTGTGAGAAGCATTAATTTGATGTTCTGTGGGAATAATTGATAGTGGGAGAGATTTAATGAAGAAACCCTGTTTTGAGGATAACAGGTATTCTAGACCAAGGTGGAAATATGTGGCGAAGATACTGTTAATCACTCCTCACACAGCCAAGACATCCCTAATCAGTCATGACATTCTTTTTCACTCAGCCCAGGCACTGCCTTGGAATTAATTTTAATGTTCCTACCAAGCCTGGTGATAGCTGATGTATACAGGATGAAAGCTGTTCGCCAGCCCTGTTGTAGCCAGTGAGTGATGAGATGCCAGTGTGTGTGTTTACTCCGTATGAGGTCAGCTGGCTGTATCAGTCTTAGAGAACTTCATGGTTCTGTGGCACAGAAACAGCAACTCATAAACCCTGATTTTTACATTTCACAGCAGTAAGGGGAGAAGGGAGAGCTGGGGTTTTTTAAGCCATGTATCAGAGCTCATTCTTCTTCATTAAGTCTTGAGTGTTGAGATCCCCACTAGGTGAGATTATTCCAGAAATGGCTATTTTAGTTATCAGGCATGCTAGCAGTCATTTCACCTCAAGCCACTGCTACAACTATCCAAAAGGAACATTGCCTGAGCAACACAGGCGCAGGCCCACCTGGGCCTCACTTTTCCATAACTGTAAAAATCAAACCTTGGGACTAGCAAGTGTTTGTTGCTCTCACACTCTTGACTACATGGCTTAGACATAGACATGCCCAGTAGAGGCCCGGCCGTGCCAGGTGGACCCAACCTAGCTGGACCCATTGTCCTAGGCAAGACAGGTGCTAATTTTTTTAATCGTTGTTTGCAGCTATTCCTTTTGCTGGAAAACTAAAACTATGCCAGCTGCTCTGGAGGGCAGGGCTGGTGCCCATGCCGTCACTTTGTGGTGGTCCAGACCCAAGCAGTGCCCCGCAGGGCTCCAGTTATAGGGCAGCAACATTTCAGGCCTCCCTGCAGCACCAAAACCTTTCTGCAGACTTCTGCTAAATATTTTTTTTGGCCACTAACACCCAAGACTTCCTAATATTTTTTTTGGCCACTAAGACCAAGACCTAAGACTGTGAGAAATGATATTTCTCACAGCATCATTTATAGGGCATTAGCACTGATATTTTTTAAAAAATAACTTTTATTGGATGTTTTATTATAAGAGCAATATATCTTTATTGTAGAGCAATGAATTAGAAGCAGAAGGAAGACAATAAAAATTATCTATAATAAAAATATCTATAATCCCAACTCAGAGATAATTAGTTCAAATATCTTCTTCATAGACATTAATATACATACTATACATACCTTTTGCCTAAAATGAAATATACTCTGTATATTGATCATAACTTTTTTCACTTAATGTCTGTATGTAGCAGACAGCTTTCCATGTCTCTAAATAGTCTTGTACAATTCATTTTTAATAAGTGCATTGGTAGGAGATACCATATCTTATTAAACAAATTCTCCAATGTTGATCTTTTAGGTTCTTTATAATATTTTGCTATTGTATCAAAAATAGACATGAATATTTTTATTTCTGAGTCCTTGTGTGCATCCCTATTTACTTAGGATCAATTCCTAGTGGTGGAATTGTTGTGACAAAGGCATTGTATATTTTAGATTTTTGTTGTATGTTGTCAAATTGCCCTTCAGCAAAGTTTTACCTATTTTATATGCCTACCAGCACTGTGTGAGAGTTCCCATTTACCCAAAATGTTGCCAAGACTGCATATGACCAAGAGTTTTTACATTTACTATTTTAATTGGTGAATATGCAATGGTATGAAAGACAGTATGAAAAAATGATATAAATACATTCATAATTTTGTTTATTATGATCAGTCATTTATATTTGTGAATTGCCTATTCAAGTCTTTTGACCATTTTTTGATATTTGTCTTTGTTTTTTTTTTAACTATGAAGTTCAGGGGTGCGTGTGCAGGTTTGTTACATAGGTAAACTTGTGTTATGGGGATTTGTTATACAGATTATTTCATCACCCAGGCATAAAGCCTAGTACCCCTTAGTTATTTTTCCTGATTGTCTCCCTTCTCCCATCCTCTACCCTCTGAAAGGCCCCAGTGTGTGTTTTGTTTCCCTTTATGTGTCCATGTGTTCTCATCATTTGGCTCCTACTTGTAAGTGAGAACATGAGGTACTTGGTTTTCTGTTCCTCAATTTGTTTGCTAAAGATGATAGTCTCCATCTGTATCCATGTCCTTGCAAAGGACATGATCTTATTCTTTTTGATGGCTACACAGTATTCCATGGTGTATATGTAACACATTTTTTTTGTCCAGTCGATCACTGATGAACATTTAGGTTGATTCCATGTCTTTGCTATTGTGAATTGTGCTGCACTGAACATATGTGTGCACATGTCTTTATAATAGAATGATTTATATTCCTTTGGGATACCCAATAATGGGATTGCTGGGTTGAATGATATTTCTGTCTTTAGGTCTTTGA